GTACTTGATAAGTTAAAAAGAACAGGATAAATTGACTGTTGATGCCTCATATTATATAAAGGCTTTTGGTTTCCAGGATTTTTTGCTCTGAAAGCTAAAATGATCACGCTTACACATTTAACATCTTTCCCCGAGCCTTCATGGGTCCTCCTCTATTTGTTCATATGATCAACCATATTTCATTAGTACAGATATATACATGTCATTTAAAGACACAATAACCTGCACCTTTCACTTTGGTTCCACGATGTTTGTTGATGGTTCTGAAGGAGGGCACAGGAGTCAAAAGGCAAAAGTACTTAATAGGTGTTTAGAATTATCTCTGTAATATTTGTTTACTATCTAGAATAGTGATATGTACAGGAGTCACCCAGTTATCTTCTTAAAATGCCAATTCCAGTTTAGTAGGTCTGGAATGAGCCTGATATTCTTTATTTCTAAGAAGTTCCCAGGTGTGGACTACACTTTGAGTAGCAAGTGTCTAGACTGAGCATCAGCAGTTACTTAAAAAGCATATTTTATGGTCACATATTAAGCATGGGGAATGTTTCTTCCACCCACAAAAATCAAAGGCACCCCGTCTACAGTAATACATGGTTTAATTGGTCACCAAAGCACACACAACCCTGCTGTTGATCACTGAAAGTCCTGCCCTCTCAAAATTGTTAAGACAAGTTCCTACAAAACAGACTAAAGAGTAGAAAGGGAGTTACACTCCGTTACTCTTCAAATCTGGTCTCCCCCACTTTCTAGCTGCAGAACATTACTCAAATTATTTTAACCTCCTCTGCCACACTTCCTTATCTATAAATGGGAATAATAATGCCTTAAAGAGTAATTATAGGGAATGAAAGAGATAATGTAAGAAAATAACATAATGTAGTAGTGAGAATATAATAAACTAGAATAACTACATAATTATAATCTTTAATTTTCAGAGATAAAAATGTATCAGCTTGGGATGCAAAGGAAGCTCTCCAACCTTTTCAAATGTTAAGGAAATAACCCAGAAATTTATTAATGTTGCTAAGAGATGAAAATCCCCAAATGGAGTTTTTTTGAAAGATAGGGTCTTGCTCGGTCACCCTGGCTAGAGTGCTGTGGTGTTATCATAGCTCACTGCAACCTCAAACTCCTGGGCTTAAGTGATCCTCCTGTCTCAGCCTCCTGCAACTGGGACTACAGGCCTGCACCACCATGCCAGCTAATTTTTTCTACTGTTGGTAAGGGGCCCTGCTCTTGCTCAGGCTGGTTTCCAACTCCTGACCTCAAACCATCCTTCTGCCTCAGTCTCCCAGAATGCTAAGATTACAGGCATGAGCCACCATACCCAGCCCCAAATAGAGCTTTAAATATATGTCAGCCCATATATAAAATATATATCTTAAATATTTAGAATTCTCTCCAAAGAAATGACAAGAATGGAATGCAGGACATTATGAGGTGTGCATTTATTAACTCTAAAATATACATTGTCTTTATTGTCTAAGGCTTGTACTAAACAGTGGATAAGCTTTGCAGTATTTAGAAAATCAATTAAACAGAGGACAGAAGGCTTAATACAGCTTCCAATGGAAATATGTGTTTTCTATCTAAATTATATTTCTAAATTAAAATACAGCTTTCATAAGCTTTTTGATATTAGGGGAAATGTATTTTGTAATCACACTTACAGGAAAAAATTCAGTTAAGTGCCATGTATCTGATAACTAGTTAGGTTTTCACATCTTCATCTGGAACATGCAGGTGTCACGGAGACACAGCCTAAGGGGTGACACATCTTGTGCCAATTACTCCATCCAATTACTTGAGACTCACTAGGTCTTCACCTTGACTCTAGACCCTTCACCTCTTTATTATTCTCCTGTGTTGCCTTATTCACCTTGCTCTTCTTCACAGAGCTTTCTTTTCCACTGTGCCTCTACCTCACCCCACATAGATGTTGCAGAAAGGAAAAAAAGGTCTTTGGTGCCAGAGAGACCTAGAACCAAATCCAGTGCGGAGTCTGCCAATGGCAACCTGTTGGTCTGGGACAAGGCTCTTTCTCTGAGACTCAGTTTCCTTTACTCATATTAATACCACTTTGCTGGATTAAAGGTACTATTTGTTAAGCATTACATGGAGGCTGCATATGGAAAATAGGCAAGGATTATAAACTTTTGTCATTTATTATTTATCAATTCATGTTTAGTCTTCTTGGAAGTTCTGAAGATGGAAGCAGTTTTTACCTCTTCTAATATCTACAGATATGTTTTACTTACATCTGGTTACTTTCTTTGTCTTCAATCTTTTTTCTTTTTTATGTAGAGATGAGGTCTTGCTGGTTGCCTAGGCTGGAGTGCAGTGGCCATTCACAGAGCCATCATAATGCACTGCAGCCTCGAACTCCCGCCTCAGCGCCCCGATTAGCTGGGACTACAGGTGCGTGCCAACACGTTCAGGCTGCATCTGGTTGCTTTTGGATGTGGCATTTTAGTTATTATGTATAAATTTGGTATGTATAGATTATCTCCTCTATACTACTTGAAGTTTCTAGAGAAAAGATTTAGGTTTCCATATTCATATATGCACCAGACTTCTAGTCAGGAGCTTGCAAATAATAGGTTTTCAAGGGCATATTTCTTTAATGGAGCAAAAATCACTTTCTGACAAAAATCTATATCAATTCTTGAGTTGGTCTTCTTCAGGTTTTCCTCAATTCCTCCAACTTTTCAATGCCCCCCCAAGGGAATTACATTAAACACCAAATGTTTCACAATATTGTCCCTCAAATAGATTTATTTAGCAATCATATATAATAGGAAATACAGAGAATTACAGCATACTAGAAACACAAGAATTGTAGGTGTCATGTTAAAAATTAAATAAAAGAGGTTCTGGTTAAATGAAAAGGCATATGAACTTGCAAGATATATATGTTGGGTAGTTGAGGATAAAAATGCAAAGCGGGGCATTTAAAGTGCAGGAGCCTAACTCATCAATCCCTCTCTTCAGAATGGGCTCAACATTGGTGTTTGCAGAAGACACGGGTGCAGATAATCTCCATTCTGACTTCTTACTAATTAGTGCTAACTAAGACGTAAGCTGTCTTAGAGAGAGAGGGAGGGGGCAGGAAAGGAAGAAATATGCAAGACTGAAAGAAAAAAGGAGGGAAGTAGGAAGTGTAGGGGATAGAGAGAAAGAGGGAAGAAGAGAGATTAGGAAAATAGTAAGTACACTAAGCAGCCTGACAGCTCTTCTGAAGAAGCAAAGCGTCTTCTCCACTCCCTCTGGAAGTTTGGTCACAGTGCTTTAATAAGTCACATAACCTGGAAAATTAGGTTAAAGCCCATATACAGAAATTTATGAATTCTTTGTATGCTATTTTTTAAATAACAAGAGTGTATAGATCTTAAAGTATTAACAGGAATAAAGTGGCTATGTTTCCTATGACATTTGAGAAGCAGTGTCTCCATTTACTTCTCCCTTGAGAGATTCTATAGCTTTACTGAAAGACAATTGGCTCAAATAGGAACAACAGTAATTAGACTTCCCAGACAGTCAGATTCTATTTTAAGTGCAGAATATTTTCTATTAATAGGTGGTAAATACCTCATTTTAAAAAGCCACTAAAAGCAGTAGTTACAGTTTCTCCATAAATAGAAACGAAGAGTCCATTTTTAAAGAACCAAAAGTCACCATGATGTACATATCTATAAATGTTTTCCCCTAGCACATTATTATAGATCAATCTTTACTGCTTACATTTAAAATACCAATTGCATTGTAATGTCTATGCTACAATTATTTAGCTGTGTTCTGCACAAGATTCAGGTAAAACAAAAGCTAAGGATCTTATTCACAGAACATTTAAAAGCATTTTATACAGAGTCTACACACAAATATATCTTAAATTACAATGATGCATACTAAATATGCATATAGAATATGGCTTACACATTAAAAGAGATCTAAGTTGTGAGTTATAAAATCTCACTACTTAGGCTTAACAGCTTCTGATTGTATCCATTTCTAAAATATTGCTTAGCATTGTGAAATCCAGAAGGAAGCAGGTGCAACAGCAAACTCGTTAGGATGGATGAATCCTCCTTCATGTCATTTAATTGATGGCTACTCTTGATTCTTTCCATCCAATTTCTGCCTTTCACAAAGACAAATTCACTGAAGCTCACCATCATTGAAATGTTTGTACAGTGAAAAGTTACAACATCTAATTGTGCTTGACCTTTCTTGTCAGCTAATAACAAACAAAGAAAGATAGTTCAGTTTGGAGCAAAAGAAAGGCTTTGCACATGCTCAGGCAAAACATGACAAGGAAGCAGAGCCTCTGAGGGTTGCAGTTTGTTTCTGGGCAGCAAAATTTAAAAGTTGCATCAAATAATGTTATCTGTACAGAAAAGTGTGGGTTTCCATTTTCATAGACATTTTTGTATTTTGTTACATCTTGATGGGATAACCAACCCAGAAGGCAAATTCCATTTTCCATTCTAGTGTCTGTCTCTACCAATGGTTGACAATCTCGTTTTCTTGTTTTCATGGACTGTAGATATCATATGACTGGCGTCATGACCATGCCCATGGAAGTGATGCATTAGTGTATTAAAACCATGGGATGGATGGATACAAGCTGGTTCACTGTCTTCAAGGAAAGGCTTCATTGCCATTTCTCAGTATGAGAGTTACAACGAGGTGTTCATCAGATCATTGCGCTGGGCTATGATGCTCAGTTGCTGCCCCAGGACTTCAACTACAGCTTCTGATGAGTCCCACCTCTCATCCTGTTCTCATGCATTTAAAATAAGGACAATCTATACAGCCTATTTCCCAGCACTGCAAAAAATATATTTTCCATAATTTTGGTTTTGCTTTCCTTTTGTTTAAGACCTTGAACAATGTGTTATGAGAGCACTCTGTGTAAGACAGTGCAAGGAATTAAATTTAAAAAGGCTTCATCTTCTGCACATGTATTGCACAGCCACTACAACTGGCTCAAAGTGAGAAAATTTTAAAGCTGTCTGACTTTTGTCTTAAAAATTTCTCTGGGTTGACTGAAGAAGGCCAAATTGTAGAGGAAAAACAGTAGCAGAAGCACTGGCCTAAAACTCTGTTAGCAACTTGAGTGTATTTATTTGGCCAGGGCGACTAGCTCAAAATTTGTGTTCTTCTTAATTCCTTATGTAGACGTCCATAAAAATGGTCCGATCCAACTGTACGTTGAAAAAGGAGATATAGCTTTGTGGAAAGTTGAGGATTTAGGATGTTTTCGTGCTGCTTTCATTATCCTAAAATAAAATCCAAATGAAAATGAAGATCAGAGAAGAAGTGGAAGGGGTAGGGAGTGGAGGGGCTTGGGCAGATGCTGGTCAGATGACACAAAACTTCAGTGAAATAGTAGGAATAAGTCCAAGAGATCTATTGTACAACATGGTAACTATACTTTATAACAATGTATGATATTCTTGAAAATTGCTGCTAAGAGAGTGGATTTTAAATGTTTTCAGCTCCCAAATATGATAAGCATGTGAGGCAATACATATGTTCATTAGCTTGATTTAGCCATTTCACAATTTCAGAACAATACACTGTACCTGATAATATATATGATTTTTATTTGTGAATTAAAAAATAAATAAAGAAAAAAAAGGAAGAAAATGAAGATCATGATTTAGTCATATACAGGCATCAATTACTGTGTGGCAATTTCACATTGGTCTTTATACACCTGGTCAAGAATAAGGTATTTACCAGTGTATAATAGTGGGTTTACATCAGTCGGAATTGCTCTTCAGATTTGTACTCTGGGTATGTGTTGTATGTGGTTTAATCCCAGTGAAAACTTTGATTCTTTGGATCAGAAGTCACAAACTCAAACAGTCATATGGGCCTAGTATCTAGTGTAAGTGAGTTAAGTAGGGCTGGGTGTGTGTAAAACAACTAGAATTACAGGGACTGTAGTGAAGTAAAGTTATGTTCTTTAGTTTTGCCTTAAAGACGCTCAGAAACATATTTTAAATCAGTGTGGAAGTCAAACAAATCTGCAGACTAAATATAGCCCACAACTCATCAGTTTTTGGCCTCTTGTTGGGCAGTACACTCAGAATTAAAGAATTGGCATTGGTAGGAAGAGGGAACACTTTCTCCACAATGGGGAACAGTTCTGATACTGGTTTGCCTTTGAAATGCCAGAAATCTCTAACATATCTTTCAAGGAAGATAATGTGATAAATGATATGCCATTAACTTTTTAAATAATACAGCAGGATGGCATTGTACATCCAACCCCAATCTCATTTACTTTAATTAACAAAAGCATAAAAGAAAAATTTAAGCAAAACAGAAGACTTCTGTGGACTGGGACCTCTTAGAAATGATGATGAAATTATACAACAGTGTGAAAAGTAGATTTCAAAGGCTTTTTTCTGGTCGTAGATATAGTGTTGCACATTGATTTATGAGGTCTCAACATGGCACAAATTTAATTAGAGCTCAATATTTCCTGGAAATGCATCTCACAGTGGTGCCTACACATTGAGAACAGAGCAGGCGATGGATCTCGGAGATGTGGCCAGGCTGCCATAAGATCTACAGTTTCCGTGATGGTGGCAAAAGAATTAGCTACCAGTCATAAACAAGGTGTGGTAAATTTGCAAACAGGGAGCCTGCAAGCCAAATCTAGCCCACTTACATATTTTGTCTGGTCCACGCAGTGTTTCAAAAAACTTTGAGCCAACATGAATAATTGGAAGAGTTTACATTAAAAACAAAACAACACAAAGCAAAACAACTCTTATTCACTAAAAGAACCTGGAAACACTGGGCCCTCATTCCTTCACGCTGAAAATCTGCCAGAGCCAAAGAGTGGCTGGCTGCCGCTGCAGCCTTCAGGCTGGGTGTGCTCTGTCCTTTCTGTTTCTAAGACTGATCACTGTTGTCTCCCACACACCATACTTGAGTCACAGTTGCCAATTTTCACCACTCTTGTTTTCAGATCCTGCCCATTCCATCCTTTAAAGCACCTGCCTGTTCCTTGAAGGCTTGTAAACTTCACCTACTGAAGGCCCTGTTTCCTGGAAGATTGTGTCTTTTTAGTTGAAAAAAAGAAAAAGATACTTCATTAACTGCCATAGCTATCTATCTATCTATCTATCTATCTATCTATCTATCTATCTATCTATCTATCTATCTATCATCTATCTATATCTAATATCTATCCTTAGACATTTTCATACAAGGAACAGTAATTTTTACAAATCTATTGGTGACCTGTGTTCCTTATACACAATTTTTGAAAAATGTTCATAAATATTCCAGATCCATGTCATGAATGCTTAGGAAATGCTGATCCTAAAGTTTTTTTTTTTTTCTTTTGAAGCTACAGAGTACATACCAACTTGGAGATGTCTTATAAGAAAGAATCTTGCTTAATTTTGTCTTACTCAGTTTTTTAATGATCCTTATTTGCCAACAAAACTTTTTGTTACTTAAAACATTTCTAAATATTCCACTGAATTAGTTTTCCCTAAAATATATTTTGGGTGCTCCATCATATATCATCAGGACCCAAACTCTTTTCTGGAATGACCATGGGCTCTAAAGGTAATAAATTTATAGTTTGAATGGAGAGTAAGGAGGAGAATTTCTGTAGCTAATATGAGAAAATATATTATAACTTTTAAGTATAGAGATGAGTTTTAGTTGCTGAATAACCATTTTGTGTCTTTATTTCTTTCCAAGCTTCATATATAAAATAGGAATCACACTCACTAAGTTTGTCACACTTACAAAGTGTGGAATTGTTGAGAGGACTAAATGAGATAATGTATGCAAGATGTTCACCACAGTGCCTAACACTTTATAGTTGCTATTAATGAAACTATTATGATGAATAAAATATAGTCATACAACTAACTGTCTTTTTAACTCACTTTTTCTCACTGAGAAAGGAATTATCTTAAAAGCTAATCACAGTTGAACTCTTTCATATCTAAAGCAACATTTGTGGAGCTGATAATAACATCACAAAGGCTTGGTATGATACCCTCAGCACTTACCCCCACTACCAACCACCCCCACAGAAAGACTCATTATAACACTTGAATTTTGTTTTTTACACTTTTTTAGTAGACATTAGGACACCTCCACTATAAATATACCTTTCCTTTCTATAACTGCCTGTACCTCCTTTGTACATCCAAGACAGAGGTTCTCAATTTTAGTGGACAGAAATATCGACAGGCTTATCAAAAATTCATATTTCCAAGGCAGCACTCTGAGAGTTAACAATTTCATAGATTGAAAACAAACCTTCACAGCTTAATTTTTAAAAAGAGAACCATTAATATATATGTCCACAGATTTTAGCAAACATGATGGTTGCTTCATAATATGTATTAATACTTGCTTTGTTTTTATTATAGGGTATCAATTTTTATATTTCTTACATGAAATAAAAGAAGAAATCAGTGTAAAATACTCATATTTCCTACATGAAGTAAAATAAGAAATGAGGATTAAACATCCCCAGGGATTATAGCTTTTTTTTTTAAAGAAGTAAAATTTTAGTCTCAGCGAGTATAATTTTTATTGATGAGGAAATTAAGAACTTTTGAAAGTTAAATGTTTAAAGTTTACGTGTTAAGGTTTTACCCCAAAAGATGGAAGATAAAGATTAAAAAAAAAAAAAGAATCCAGGAGGGCATTTAAATAATATAACTTCGTTTCTAATGATATTCTAAAAACCATTTAGTTTAGAAATTAGATTTGTTGTCTAGAAAATAAAATTACCTTTCATGTTTAAAATGACAGAAGCCATTAAGGTGTTTCAGACCTATGGGTGTGTATCAGCATGTTTTTCTTCAGCATTTACTAAGTCTTCTGAGTTCTTATGAAGATCAGTTTCACCTAAAAAGAAACAAGGAAACAAACACACAAAACTCAAAATAAGCCTTTGAAAAAACCTAATAAGGTTAGCAGATTTGAAGCCATTTGTAAAACGTGGAAGACTGGATTTTACGTGGATTTGTGGCACATTTCTCCAAGGATATCAAACATTCTCTTTTCAGCCTGTGGATAGCATAACAAGTCATTTTTGGTGGTTATATGAGTTTTTGAAGTTGCAATTTAATCTGAGAATGCAGAAAGACATAAAACAGATAAAACTTGTTTAAATATCTATTAACTCTTGTACCCTCATAATATCCTGAAATTAAAAACATAATCTATTAACTCACATGTAAAAATTATGCATGTTTTTACTGAATATTTTTAATTGAAACAAATTCCTTTAAATAAATCCCCTAATGATCAGTGTCTTTTATCACACGTTGCTTAGTTGCTATGAATTTAAAACAACTGAGTATAAAAGAATAGCAATGTTTAAGATAAGACATAATCTGTTAAAACAAACTCATGGAATTTATAATCTTGGAATCACTCAGCTTCTGTATAAACTTTGAAGAAAAATAAAATATTAGCATGGAAAATGTTTCAACAGTTCTAGAGAGGATGTAGAGAATCTATGAAAAATGAAAATATAAAGCAAAATGTACACATTAGAGTCTTATTACATAAGCAACAAACTAAACAAAATAAATAGAAATTAATTTTGAGTCAGTTACTCAAGATACCCTGATATTTCAGAAAATACGTATGATGGAATGTTCTTTCTGTATGAAATTTCATTGAAGATATTCTAACAATTAAACTTTGCACTAATTAACTTCAAGATAATTCCTTTAATGTATATTGTAGGACAGTGTCAACTCAGTTGCAGCAGTTTTTATTGAGGTTATATAATTAGTGAACATACAGAACTTATAGGGTGTTATTATAAAGCAAATTTAAGTTGCCTCCCACTGTCTCTTTAAAATATATTCAATGGGGGAAATTTATCTTCTATGCCAGGATCAAAATATCCTTTGGTTCATATGAAACATTCGTGAGGCACCTACACAGCCTTCTCTCCTTTGGCCCATCTGTCACCATCTAACTCTGTAGCTCTCTCACTTAGGAAGTGGACTCCATTCCCAATATCCCCTTCACTCAGTCTCTCCAAGGGTCCTGGTGAAGCTCTCTTCCCTTGATTTGAGGTAAAGAAGGAAGTATTTCTATACTTTTCCCAACAGCAGAGATCTCTGCAAAGAAATCCTCTTCACAAATCTTTTTTCCACCTCAGCAATCTAACCCTTTCATTTGTTCGTATTGGTTTAGAGTGTTAAGCACCCTATAACTGGCTTTTGAATCTACTTTGTAATTCCTTTCTCACAAGTCTATTTGTCTTCCCACATTTATCTTCTTAGAGTCTTGGCTTAAACTTCTGTCTAATATCCTGTTACTTAAGGCTAGATTAAGAGAGAACAAAACAGTCTAGAATAGAGCAGAACAGAGTGAAAAGAATAGACTGAATTAAAAGAAATGTAAGTAATATACTTATATAAGTAATCCACTAATTCCCTGGTTCTCAAAATTTTTGAGAGAACTTTTTACAATGGGTGAAGAGCACTAAGATCTACCTACTACCAAATGCTCTCATTTCTAGTGAATAAAGAACTCACAAATAATAATAAGTGGAAGAGGAACAAAATAATCAAATGATAACGATACAGCAATGAACAAAAAAAAAATTCCAAAATGATACACAAATTACATCCAAGAGTAATTCTGTACATGCAATTAGAAAAGCAACACTTAAAAACTATGACCAACTCAATATATGAGTTTTTTTTTTTTTTTTTTGAGACAGAGTCTCATTCTGTTGCCTGGGCTAGAGTGCTGTAGTTATCACCCTAGCTCACAGCAACCTCAAACTCCTGGGCTCAGGCAATCCTACTGCCTCAGTCTCCTGAGTAGCTAGGACTACAGGCATGTGCCACCATGCCCAGCTAATATATATATATAATATATATTTTATTCATATACTATATATATTATGTTGTAATATTTTTCTATGTTTTTAGTAGAGATGGGCTCTCGCTCTTACACAGGCTGGTCTTGAACTGCGGAGCTCAAAGGATCCACCCGCCTGGGCCTCCCAGAGTGTTAGGATTATAGGGGTAAGCCACCACGCCCTGCCAATATACAAGTTTTGCAGCACTGAAAAAGTGTTTTCTTTGAAAACTAAAATACCAGCTGTTTTCAGGGCCATACAAACATTGCCAGGCAATTTCATGGCAATCAAATACTATAGTCCTCAGCAAATCCAAATCACATTACTGTTAGTTAATAAATCTTAAGTTGTAGAAATCTTTACAATGAACTTGGGGAATTCTACCTGTAAGTAACCCTTAGTCTTTCATAAAAAAAGTCATATTATTCTGACATATCATTCTGCCATAAAGAAGAAATAATTTGCATTATTCAATCCATTAAAGATTATCTTAGATGACCTTGATGGCCCAAGAGTGGTCTATCTAAAAGACTTTGAGAAACATCAATACAGTCCAAGGTTCCAAATGTCTTTAAATCATGGGTACCTCTGTAGTCTGATGAAACCTATGGCCTTCTTTCACAATAAAATTCATAAATCAAATAAATATGATTACAAAGGGGTCTACTTATATTAAAATACAGCTATCAACACATTTAAGTAAACCTATGCTATAGTAATATACATGCTTCTTTAGTAATGCATTAAATAACAAGGCCTAACTATATTTCTGTATCTATGTAATTTATAAATAATAAGGATATCAAAAGATACTTCAAGATCTCTCCACTAAGTATATTATGAAAACATCTATGATTTCTATTGATGACAAACAAAAATATCGCAAATTTTAAAGTGTATTGTTGCCTACAAATGAAAGGAATGCTAAATTTCAGTTAAAGGCTAGTAAAAAAAAAAATTCCTCTTCAAGTATGCATAACCCCAAGTTAAAACTTGTGATCTAGTCTAACTTCATTTTCCAGGTAAGAAATGCCCAGAATAGTCAAGTGATTGTCTCTAGTGCAGACCATGATAGATAACCTGAAGTGAAAATAGTTGGCTTTTAATTCACTGGCACTTCAACAAGACCAGTAAAGTGACCTTGGAATTCCATTTTACTGAAGGGATTTGCAAGCTCACATACATAGGAAGCTGCATGAACCTTAGGAATAAATGCAAGGGGACTGCTCAAAGCAAGTACATATAAAATTGTTTGTCAGCCAGGAAAAAGGTAATGAAAGTAAGGGCCCTCCAATAATTCTGTTCACCTCAAAGAGCGTTACGTGTTCATCTAAACCAATTTCAAAAGTTCAAACTTAAAAAAAGTAATTTGTAAAATGATGAAATGTTGTGGCTTTGCTTTATAAATAGAGTCTAAATTCTGCAGTGGGCAGAGAGGGAATAGCAGTTATAGGAGGGCCAGACCTACCAAAGCAAACAGAAATCCTCTAACTTTAGCTAATCTATGCTTCTTTTTAGACTGCAATTTGAGCTCACTTTTATTACATTGGAATCACAGTGTGTTAGACTCATATGATGTAAATATTATAACACTTGCAGGGAATAATACAAGGAACACTATCAAGTGGATATTATTGACTCCAGTTCTCCATTCATGGTCTCATCGACTAATTATCTGAAAAATAATCTGTTAGGATAAGTCACTATACAATTGAATAATCAAGCCTTTGTGAACAGCGACTAGGTGGCAGGCACTATTCTCATCTTATTTTCCTGAATCCTCACAGCAACCCTATGAAGTGGGAGTTAACAATTGTGAGATGTAGCTTGAGTGTTGTCTGCCCATGTTCTCAAAGCTAATGAGCGGTGAGATCCCCTGGACAAAGTACTACCAGAATCTTGACCTCTGGTAGCGGTGGTAGCCGACCTTCACCCCTCCCACCATAGTCACACACCCCCATCCTCTTACTCCTAATATTTTTCTTTAAATAAACTTTCAATCTATTCTCTTTGAAAAAGAAATTATTTTTGTGCTAAAGAGTAATTTCTCCTCAAAAAAAGAAATTTGATGTGCTTTTTTGTATTTTTCTAATACATAAAATCCATAATTAACAATCATTTCTTTTGTAGACATACAAACAATAATTGATTTAATCTAATAGTCTATATTGCACTCACTATTTTTGACTAGTCTAACCCAACAATCCCTGCATGTGAGCAGGAAAATCATGACTATGGTTTCCTTGGTAAAGATCAGGAACACATGATCAGAGGGATAACTGACTATTCCAACGCACTATAGCCTAGGTGGATTTGGGAGACAGAACCCCACGATATACCTCAGAAAAACATTCCATTTAGTTTTATTTAACAGCAAGAGCAAATAATGTTTGAAAAATACTTAGCACAAAATTGGGTTTTGCAGTCTTTTCAACAGAAATACTAGCTCTGAGCAACACTACATTTTTATTTCTTCATGGGAAAAACGTTACCTTTCCTATATATAGTAGTATTTCTTAAGGCAGGCACATGGGTAGGTAGCTTCAGTTTTATTTTTGGACCATTTATGGTGTTTATGTTGCAAATAGCTAGAATGAATTGATGATCTAAGATTAAAGTGATAGTCATTGGAGAAATATAATGTAGGATAAATCAGAGCTTTTGATTTTAATTGGTGTTTTGGCATCTGTATAATGTAATTTGCCTTACAGATTAGGAATAGGAAATCTTTCAACACCAGGGGAAATACTCTTCCTCTTTTTCACTCTTAATTTAAATGCATTTGGAGGAGAAACAGTTGTAAGCATGTTTTCTGTGTTTTACTCTGCAGTGTGCATGAAAGCAAGATAAGAGAGAACTTGCACACTAGGCAGAAGAAAAAGAAGCAGCTGCTAAAACAAAACTCCACCTAATTCCCAAATGTTCTATCTCTGATCCTGTAATATTAGAGGAAGCAATAAAGTGTTATATAAGATAAAAATCAAAAATAGCTAAATTATTTCTTGATTCATTTAAT